TTAAAATCTAAATCGAATCCTGATCGTCTAAATCTTTCAAATCAACGGTCAAGATCTAATCTCCCAAAACCTTCCTATTTTAACACTAAAGCTCCTAACCCTAAAATTTATGCATTCTCCCTCTCTCTCAAACAGATCAGCCGCCACCCTCCCTCTCACCGACGATGGCGAGTCTCCAACGAAAGGCGGAGGAGAGGCCGTTCTTCCTCTCTCACAGCGCCTCCTCTCCTTCTCTCTTCTCCCTCTTTTCTTCTCCGACGGAAGAGCAGCAATGCGAGAACCAGCAGGTGTTGGCTGCCTCCGCTCCTTTTCCGGTGGACAGCAGCTCCGAACCAACGACCAACAGGCTCCACCGGCGGAAAACCAGTTGCTCCGACGACCAGCAGCCGGCGAGAGCAAGCAGCAGCGATGGCGAAACAGAGAGCAACAGCAGCACAGCCTCTGCCCCTCTCTTCTCCGGCGAAACTCGAGGATTGCAACAGCAACAAAAGTCATTTTTCGACAAGAGCTCTAGAGTTAGCACTTCATTTTTATTTTCTGCCGATTTTGAGGTGCCGATCGGATAAAAGACAGATCTGTCCGGGTATGACTTTCCAAAACATCTTGTTGTGCCTCTCATCTATATCTTGTTCTTATTTTTTTTCTCTAAAATTAATTTCAAGATGTGAAATTTGCCATCGTTTTTGTGTAAATGCGTGTACGAGCCTTGGCTTAGTCATAACCTCAAGATTAGCTTATTGTGCATTATAGTTTGACCTTGTGCATTATAGTTTGACCTTGTAGCGCCCCGTTTTTCACAAAATGGACTTTCCTTTCGGATGCACGACCTAACAACTCTTTTGGGTTTTGGAGCAATTGAAGAGTCACCACCTAATGAATTAAGGCGCGTTAGGGCACCTATCTAACCTAAACTAGTCTAGCTAAGGTCAACGAACCAGAGATCAGGGTAAGGGTTCAAATTACTTCGAGGGGAAGGTGTTAGGCATCCCTCGAGGTCCACAAATGTGGGTCCCGGTCGTGTCTCATGCAATTTATGTGGGGGTTATAAGTAGCATTTAAGGTCACTTCATTTATCAATTATTTAAATAATGATTGCTAAGTGATAACTAATTTTAAACAATTAAGATCAATTTATTTATTTACTTTATTAATTAAGCATGCGAAACTAGGTGATAACTTAATACTAAATAACTAACAAAATAAAATTTAAAGAGATAGCGAGAAGATAGGAAGTAGACAAATATATAAGTAAATAATTAACTTTTAATTTTTAAAACTACCCCAAATAATTAATATAAACATATAAAAAGGGTAAGGGAAGGGAGATTCTGAAGGACTTTAGGATCAGCACTCGAATTTTATTTTTTGATAGGCTTCTGTGTAGGGACTGAAAAAATCAAGGTTTGTCGCTTTTAGCCTGAGTCGATGTCATCATATCCGTAGGGCCTAAACTACCCCTACCCTACCACCGCATGCTTTTCGTCTCTAAGAGGTGTCTATCATCCCGACTTAAGATCCAAGAGGCATTAGACTACTATTAGGAAGGGTTTAGACCAAAATAAACTCCTAATAGGCCCACCTAGACACCAAATCAAACAATTTGGACGACCATTTAGCACACAAAGTCTCATATTGGCCTCTAGATTAGTTTACTAACATGCTTGCAAACAACACATAATTAGTGAAGGTCTCATGCTAAGTGTGTGCACATACGAGCATGCACTCCATATAACAATTAATTAACTTAAATGGGTAGAAAATTATTACAAGTCAGGAAGAAAAGGTTATTAGACTGATTTAATAAGTGGCAGAAAAAGTGATTACAAATGCAGAGATATATTTAAAAAACAATGGCAGATTTATTATTAATGCAAAGAAAGGTTAGCAGCTGATTTCAAATGGCAAGACATTGCAGAAATTAATTAATTCAAGCGAGATTTAATCGGGGCAGCAAGTGGCAGATGCAGAAAAGTAATTTAGCAGCTGATTTCAGGTGGCAAAACAGTTTATCAAATGCAAAAAAATATTTCGGGTGGTTCTCATTTTAAACATGCCGAAGGCTATTTAGTTATTTAACATGCTAAAAATTGTAAGAAAACCTATAGATATGCTATCTAAGTGATTATCATGCTGAAAATATTATCGTCCACCGTGTTAAGAAATTCCTATAGGCATGATTTTCTAAAGGATTGATGTAGAAAATAACTAATAACTCGCATTGACAGATAAATCGAAGATGGGAACAGTTCAAGTTCCCTTCTCTAAGTTTGTGGGCACGTTGGAAAATTGCCTATTAAAATTTATTAAAACCTAACTACTGAGTTAACAAGCTGAAGTTATTCCTATAGGCAGAATCTCTAGATAAGGATGGACTGAAATTTAAGCCTATATGCATGATATCTATGCCCAAATAATAAGATATTGAGATCTTATATACATGCTACCTATTGCAAATTACAAACACTAATACGTTATTAGCTAGACATTGATTTAATTTCGAGTTTTAATGACATGCTGAAAATTGATTAATAAACCTATATACATGATTTCTACGTGATTGATAGATTAAAATGTCAGAGCACCTATAGGCATGATTTTCTAAATAAAGTATAAGGTGACAATTATTCAACCTATATGATTTCTACGCCAACATATGAAGAGTAATTACTTTATAGGCATGGTATCCTGAGAATAGTAAAAGGATTCTAATGCAAGCCGATTTAAAAAATCAACATTTTATTTTTATTTTATTTTAATTAATTAAATTTTTATTATTTTAGGGAAAACGGCTGAGTTTAAAATCAAGGAACAAACATGCACTATTTTAGTATAATTAATAGGATGGTCGTGCAAATCCCAATAATTCAATATAATGACCAATTAGGTATTTAAACTCATAAACAACTTCCAAATTATAATTAGACAAGATATAAATGAGTGATTAATGATGACAGTAACTTATTTTATTTTTTGGACAGATCTTGATTAAAAATTATTAGAGGGAACGATCAAACAAAATCACAATCCTATAAGCATGGTTTCTAACATAAATAAGTTACGATAAAAATAAATAAACAAGTAGCATGTAAATCCCTCCCCCTTAGCCGATCCCCAAATTATTTCACATATATAGAGTTAGAGTTTACAAATTATTACAAAAATAATAAAAAGGATTAAATAATACACAAAACATAAATTAAATCGATTAGTCTATTTCCCTCCCATGGCGACTCTTCATGTCTTGAACCTTTAAGTTCAAACCCTGTTAAAGAAAGTAACAATACAACCCAAGTAATATACAACACATGTAATAACAATTATTTTTCATGAACTCAACCAGAATAGGACATACGTATTACTTCAAACAATATATTGCACATAGACAGACATACACATATAAAAGGGAGAAGAGAACTGACCCGAACGCTTCCTTTACTTAATAAAATCCATTTTTGGATTTATGCATAAAAAGTAATTAAGTAGTGATGCAAAACAGAAATTAAATAGTGATGCAAAATAGAAATTAAATACATGTATGAAGAGCACCAACTGGTTAAGCAGTTAAAAAATATATCAGCAATGAAGGCAAGTTGATTCCACACTATTCGACCCGAACACAGCAAAATACTTCTTAAAAGTTCACCCGAAAATCTTTTCAAGCAGAGAGTAATATATATTTTAGTATTTTAGTATGTGAGCACAAGTTAGGATGTGAGAGTGTAGAGGTGTTCCACCGTGTGTTATATGGAATTATGAACCTTATTTATATACAAAAGAGAGGGCACAACATAAAAGGAAAAGAAATAATTAAGGAGACAATTAGAATTATTTTCCTTAAACAAATAATGAATAAAATCAATCGATTTTTACCCAATATGTAATCAAGTGGCAGTTGATTTTTATAATTACGGCAAGAAGGCTAATTTAAAGCATCTATGACTATATAATCAAGAAGACAAGCATTTAACTAAGGCAGGACACAATTACAGCCCAACACAATATTCATATATTAAAATAATTTACCATAATCAGCCAAAATGTTGGAATCCGCCAAATGCTAACTTAATCAATTATGAGGATCATTAGCAAATCAATCAAAGTTAATGATAATATATGCTTACAATAAGAATATTCTAAAGTTAGGTAATTCAGTTAATCAACCTCAATTTAAGCCACAATTAAGTTATTAGTAAAAAAAAGGACATAGTCCAATTAGAATATTAACACGCTCAAGATTCCCAAAATATAGACAAACGAGATTGAGTAGGTGGATACTTACCATCCGTAGCCAAATAGAGCTGTTGGTATAAAAAAATAAGATCATCATATGCCAAGGATTATTAGTAAAGGAAATCAAGGTATCATTCACTGGTTACAATCAACAACCACACATTAATACTATTTCATATAAGAACATGTAATATTCAACCGAAAGAGGAGTAATGTTACAACAATATTAAAGCATTGGACAATTCAGACAAGTCTAGGTGTAATGATACCTCCACAAGGTCAAACTATAATGCACAATAAGCTAATCTTGAGGTTATGACTAAGCCAAGGCTCGTACACGCATTTACACAAAAACGATGGCAAATTTCACATCTTGAAATTAATTTTAGAGAAAAAAAATAAGAACAAGATATAGATGAGAGGCACAACAAGATGTTTTGGAAAGTCATACCCGGACCGGACAGATCTGAACAGATCTGTCTTTTATCCGACCGGCACCTCAAAATTGGCAGAAAATAAAAATGAAGTTCTAACTTTAGAGCTCTTGTCGAAAAATGACTCTTGTTGCTGTTGAAATCCTCGAGTTTCGCCGGAGAAGAGAGGGGCGGAGGCTGCGCTGCTATTGCTCTCTGTTTCGCCATCGCTGCTGCTTGCTCTCGCCGGCTGCTGGTCGTCGGAGCAACTGGTTTTCCACCGGTGGAGCCTGTTGGTCGCTGGTTCGGAGCTGCTGTCCACCGAAAAAGGAGCGGAGGCAGCCAACACCTGCTGGTTCTCGCATTGCTGCTCTTCCGTCGGAGAAGAAAAGAGGGAGAAGAGAGAAGGAGAGGAGGCGCTGTGAGAGAGGAAGAACGGCCTCTCCTCCGCCTTTCGTTGGAGACTCGCCATCGCCGGTGAGAGGGAGGGTGGCGGCTGATCTGTTTGAGAGAGAGGGAGAATGCATAAATTTTAGGGTTAGGAGCTTTAGTGTTAAAATAGGAAGGTTTTGGGAGATTAGATCTTGACCGTTGATTTGAAAGATTTAGACGATCAGGATTCGATTTAGATTTTAATTAAGGATGGATGGTCGAGATTAAAAGACTTGAAATCTGAATTTGGAAAAAGAAAGGCTAAAATTGAAATGGGATTGGCTAGAATTGACATGAAAGGGTGGATAAAATTGCAATACAATTGAAATTGAATAGGCTAGAATTGAAAGGAATTGGAATAATATAGGCTAACATTTAAATGATTTAAAGGAACTTCAAGGAAACGCTATTCAATAAAATATTACAAATATTATAACATTTTATATAATAAAAATCACTTAAACTTTTAAAACCTTTGAAATAAAATAATTATTTTGAGTTTTACTAATAATTTTTTTTAAAAATATCTTAATAATATTTATGATAATTTTATAAAACACACATACTAAAATGTACAATTTTTAGACAAAATCAACTAAAATTTTAGAACTCAAAATATATTTTAAAAAGCGTATTTAATCGGATAGCATTTCCAAAATTGTTAAAGGTCGATCAAAATTGGGTGTCAACATATAGCCTCGACCCACGACCCCCACATACGGTGTGTGAGTCCACCCATGGGGCATGGGTGCCCATTTCGTGGGTGACTACCTTCACGCAATTTTTTGGCTACAAACCAAGGCCCTCCTCAAGGACCCTTGGTTGGCCCCTTGGTGGGGGGGGGGTCATGCCTTGATATTTAGTTCCTAACACACTTGTACTAACTTAGGGAGGTTATTTTACGACTCTTATCTTTATGCTAAATCCCATTTAGGCTACTAGACTACATATTAGGCTCTAACTTAGTTCATTAGTTTTCTGGAGTGTTACATTATCTCCCCCTTGGGAACATTCGTCCTCGAATGATGACTTAGGCACCTAAGGAGAATAAATACTCAAGACTAGCAGCCCATCATGCATGAAACACCAAAATAATGCACAACTCAAAGATACACTATTCACAATGTGCACTATTCAAAGAAGGAAACTTCAACTCCATTTCAAACATAATCAATGCAACATAGGGAAGTAGGAACTACATCTACCAACCCAAAATGCATGAAATTTAACATTTCTCATGTTCATAGGAGGAACTACCTTCTCCATCAAAAGCATGCTCAACACAACATCATGGAGCCAATATGTCATCTCATAAAAACATAATGAAGCATGTTTATCAACACATCCCATGAAGTCAAATATGCAACATCATACTACAATGCACAACAACATGAGGAAACACATATATCATGAAAACTCATTTATCATTAAACATGAATTTCATCAAGAACATGCATAACATAAGGAAATCATGAAAAAGCTCAAATAGCACACATGACTCCCAAAACACTAAAACTCATGAGGAACTACTTACCTCAAGCTTGAGTAGGAGTAGAAGGAAAAAGATGAGGATAGCGGGACTTCATAACGGCCTCGGCCTCCCATGAGCACCCTCAACTAAATGATTCCTCCATAAATCTTTTATGGAAGCTACTTCCTTGTTTCTCAACCTTTTAACTTGCTGGTCTAAGATCTCTACCGAAATCTCTACATACGAAAGACTCTTATCAACTCCCAAACCTTCTAAAGGAATGATGGATACCGGATCACCAATAGACTTTTTGAGCATAGAAACATGAAATACCGGGTGAACCGGAGCCAATTCATTTGGCAAGTCTAACTCATAGGCAACTTTCCCAATACAGTTCAAAATTTGATAAGGGCCCACATATCGGGGACTAAGTTTCCCTTTCTTGCCAAACCTTATCACACCTTTCATAGGTGAGATTTTCAAATAGACCCAATCATTGACTTCAAATTCTAGATCCCTCCCCCTAACATTGGCATAAGACTTTTGCCGACTTTGGGCAATCCTCAACCTCTCTCTAATGAGTCGGACCTTTTCAATGGCCTCATAAGCTAATTCGGGACCAAGTAAAGCAATTTCACCTACTTCAAACCACCCAACTTGAGATCTACACCTCCTACTGTATAATGCATCAAATGGAGCCATGACAATACTTGTGTGGTAACTATTATTGTAGGCAAACTCTATCAATGGAAGATGGTCATCCCAACTACCCTTGAAGTCAATCACACATGCTCTCAACATATCTTCTAAGGTTTGGATGGTACATTCCGCTTGACCATTGGTTTGGGGATGAAAAACCGTGCTAAGCTTAACCTTAGTACCAAGCCCTTTTTAGAATGCCTTCCAAAAATGTGAAGTAAATTGAGTACCTCGATCCTAAATGATAGATAAAGGAACTCCATGCAACTTCACTACCTCTTTGATGTACAATTTGGCATAGTCTTCCGCCGAAAAGGAAACCTTGATGGGAATAAAGTGGGAGGATTTTGTCATTTTATCCACAATGACCCAAATAGAATCATGTTGCCTTCGGGTACGAGGCAAACCCACAATAAAATCCATATTCACATCCTCCCACTTCCAAGTGGGTATATCTATATATTGAGAAAAGCCTCCTGGTCTAAAGTGTTCGGCCTTGACTTATTGACAATTCAGACATTTGGCTACAAAATCTGCTATATCCTTCGTCATATCATTCCACCAATAGACTTCCCGTAGGTCACAATACATCTTGATGGCTCTCGAATGAATAAAATATCGCGAACCATGAGCTTCATCTAAAATTTGCTCTCTCAAGCCGTCAACATCCGGAACACATAATCGACCTTGATACCTAAGCACCCCATCTCCCCCTTGGGAGAAAGCCTCAACGGACTTGTTAAGCACCAACTCTTTCAATTCAACTAGAATAGGATCAAGGTCTTGCTTTGCCTTTACTTCCATAACAAAGGATGATTCGGAACCATTGTGGATCATGACACCACCCTTGGTGGAATCCACTAGTTGGACACCTAACCGGGCCAACCTATGAACATCACGAACTAACTCCTTCTTTTCATCTTCTACATGGGCCATACTACCTATGAAAAATCGACTTAGGGCATCCACAACTACATTGGCCTTGCCGGAGTGGTAAAGGGCACTCATGTGATAATCCTTCAAAAGTTTTAACCACCTTTATTGTCGGAGATTCAAGTCTTTTTGGGTAAAAACATATTGGAGACTCTTGTGATCAGTGAACACATCAACATGCACCCCATATAAGTAATGTCTCCATATTTTCAAAGCAAATACTACCGCCGCCAATTCAAGATCATGAGTCAGATAGTTCTTCTCATGTACCTTGAGTTTCCTTGAGGCGTAGGCAATTACTTTCCCATGTTGCATAAGGACACATCCCAAACCCACTCTAGAGGCGTCACAATATACAAAAAACCATCGGTACCCTCCGGCAAAGTCAACAGCAGAGCAGAGGTAAGCCTATCGTTCAATTCTTGGAAGCTTTTCTCACAAGCTTCCAACCACACAGATTTAGCTGAGTTAAGGCCGTCAAAGGAGAAGCAATAGAGGAACATCCCTCAACAAACCTCCTATAGTAGCCGGCCAAACACAAAAAATTTCTAATATCGGTTGGTGATAGAGGTCTAGGCCAATTCTTGACCGAGTCCATTTTCTTCGGATCTACCTCTATACCCTTGCTTGACACAATGTGACCTAGGAATGCCACAGACCTTAGCCAAAACTCGCATTTACTAAACTTTGCCAATAATTGATGATCCTTGAGGAATTGCAACACAACTCTCAAATGGTCCATATGGTCACCCTCACTTCTAGAATATATCAAAATATCATCGATAAACATAATGATGAACATGTCAAGATATTATCGGAAAACCATATTCATAAGGGTCCATAAATGCCGCCAGGGCATTTGTTAGGCCAAATAACATCACAAGGAACTTATAGTGCCTATACCTAGTTCGGAATGCCGTCTTAGGAATATCAACATCCCTCACCCTTAATTGGTGATAGCCC